GAACCTTACACCATATACGGCTTTTTGCCCCTTACAGTATTAAGGCAGTTTGACCTGTATTTGTGGGAGGGGCTCAAATTAATTCACTCCCCTATATAAGGCACACCCCTTACCTGACTCCATATCGCTTGAGGTCAGCATCAGAATGACCTTCCCACCCACTCCTCATTTCAACACTTTCTCTTTTCTTTCCATTTACTTTACTTTCTTACTCCTTGGTGGGCCCTCTTTATTTACAGGCCTACCGTATGGTCGGTCTCGGCACACCACAACCGACTTGCTCCATTTATACTATCCTACGCTTATGCTGGAACCTTACTCCATATACGGCTATTTGCCCCTTACACAAATATATATATATATCTATATATATATATATACATATATATATATATATATATGTATATATATATATATAGATATATATATATATTTGTAGTCGGGGCAATATAGCCATACACAGAAATCTAGCATATTATAACCATACCATCAATGAGTTTGCACCAGTCGGTTGTGGTGTGCCAGAACTGACAAAGCAGCCAACCTTAGAGGGTGTTATGAATAGAGGGAGTGGTTGGAGGGGTGACTCCCTAGAACAGGCTGCACGGACGCCAGCGACGCGTGGTAGAGGCACGAAAGCACCGGACCAGGAGACCACGAGAAATACGGGTAAGGAAACCAAAATGGCGGTCTGAACCGGAAGTAAACGTTTCAGACTCGCCATACCAGTAACGGCAAGGTGAGAGTGGATTGGCAGCCCTTTTAAAGAGGATTCAAGCCCCTCCCACAACTACAGGCCAAGCCTTCAAATTTATAGTCGGGGCAATATTGCCGTACACATAAATCAAGCATATTATAACCATACTATCAATGAGTTTGCTCCAGTCGGTTGTGGACAAAAAGAAAATACCATACAACATAATTTGTGTAACCAACTTAATTTATTTGAATAAATCACAGAAAGCTTGTCTTAATTCTTTAATGGGATTAGGTATGTAGAGAGTGTAGGCGGAGAATTTCCATTGTCCCATAGCCTTGATAATGTGAGCGGGTATGTTATTAGCAGATGCTGAAGATGCTGCCCCTATACGGAAAGAGTGACCTGAAAAATGATTGGGGTTTAGGCCGAGCCTAGTCAACGGTAGTCGTCCGTAAAGCATGAATTTTGCTGTGGTCAGAGTGTATCCATGCAGTTCAAGCAGGGATTGATGTGGTTGCTTTTGGACTGAAAGGAAAAAAGTGTTCAAAACTTGTACTGGGCACCACTTATTATGAGT